TGTGTGTCAATTCTAGGTCCAATGCAATTATTTCCTCCGTTCTGTGGCGTTGGGTTGTCACAATGACGAAATCTATGTTGGATGCCGTCTTTTCCACAACTATACGGACATGGAGTCCAGCTGGACCAACTTCCAAACTGTCCATCCACTGGTCGGGGCAATGCTTCAATTAAAATAGCATGATTTTGTTAAGTACAATTTTCCATGTGGCGTATGAAGTCGTTTGCGTGAACGTGTGTGCCGTACTTTGATAATTGTTTAATCACCATATAAAACACATATAGGCAAACATCAAATTATATAGTCAAATATAATGAAAAAAGTAGAAATTACAAGTTTTTTTAAAATTATTCTAATAGGTATGACAATATGATATAACTTCCACAAACATACTTTTGACTCACTGTACCTTAAATAGGCGAAACAAATCACTAAATGTAAACAATTGTTAGTCTTAAATGTCTTTTTCAATGCCGATCATCACATACAATACATTAATTAAGTCAAATGACCACATGTGTGTCGTTTAAATGGTATAAGATAAGTTATATATTTAGTTCCATTTAGTAAACGGACAAGTAAAATGTCAACGTTTAAGAATATTTCAACAAGTCAACAAACATCCGAATAACTAACATGATTCGGTATATTTACTTGATAATACCATTGTCGTTGGGACAGTTCTCGTTTGTGCTGTGCTGGTAAGCTTGTCTATAACTGGTGCGTTCGTATTTCCAACACTATTACAATCTATATCATTACAAAGGTTGTCATAGCAACACTTCATGCAGTCAAGCGTAAAATCTTGTCTCTTTCTGTACGTCTCCAGTTCTCTTTTACCAACGGCAATCATTTCATCTGAGGGGCAGACCTATAGATATTTGTTGTCTTAGATTACAAGTATATTTTATCACCGTAAAGATTGTTATTTTTAATGCTAACATTTAAGTTATATTTTTAACAATTATCAATTATGATTTCTTATTTATCCCTGTATCCAGTATCAGGGGTGTCACGACACCAAATCTCAATAGCTTAAAATAGATCCTTGTTGAATTGTGTGCCTAAAGTTTAAGCCTCATCGTTATAAACAATTTATTGTATAAAAAATCTATTGGTATCAGTTAATTTGTATAATTTAAGTGACATTATACTCATCCGAGAGTTTATAATGAGTGAACAGATACTCATTTTTTCATTGTCAATTTGAGCTGAATTCACTATAATATAAATATTATTTCTTAAAGGATTGTTGTTGTAACGGCGATTGACCATCGTTTGATATTAGAAAATCAAAATCTGCCTAAAATATAAAAATACTGTCCACTCTTTTTATAAATTGGACGTAGCATGAAAATTCCGATGGATATTTATAAAAAAAAAATCTTGAGCTACGTGATTTGTTTATCGTTCATGCAAAGTAAATTATAAAATAAGAAGGAAACTTTGCAAAATGAAAACTTAGTTTGATTTTTATTTGTTCACTCATTATAAACGCTCGGATGGGCATAATGTCACTCTAGGCATGGATGATTATGGGTTGTACTTTATCAAAGCATGGAAAACCATGGGTAGTATAAAATCAAAGTATTGATGATCATGGTTGAACTAGTTTAGGTTCATGATATGGTACTTACAAATTTGTTGACGCAATATCCATTAAACATGACACTGTCTCCTGTTAAAACCCTTGCTAACATACATGCCTGTCAATCATCAATATTCAAATTCTTAATTACCAATAATAAAGCAAATTTGATCACTGTAAATATGTAAAATATCATATATCTGTATAACATAGAAACATATTTCTATTTTTTGTCATTTTACAACTTAACTTAAAGCAACAAGATTATTATTTAAAGCAATTTGTTAATTCCGTATTTATTTCGTGTGTTCATTTCATTGAGAGTTTTAACTTTTATTAGACCGGTAAATAAATGTTGCTACTTCTTCTTCTTCTTCTTCTTCTTCTTCTTCTTCTACTTCTTGTATAACGTGTGTTGATATAATTGTGAAACCTTAAAAGTGTTGTTAGATGGGTGATAAGACTAATCACAGTACTTGCCTCATCAGCTGCGCAATGGGTAACTTGTGAACATTCATTAGCTGTATACTGGTCGTGACATGTGTAGCAGATCGGCCCTTGTTGAGGCGGCATTTCTAAAGAAAATAATAATGTTATATTCTCTATAACTTCAGGAGAAAGAGAAAAAACGTTTACTTATCAAGCATCTAATAATAAATGGGATTGAATGTTTATTTTTATCGTAACAATAACAATAATTAGTTCCGTCCGTTTGGTGATATTGTATTTATATATGCAATGTAATTTTTAAGATAGATTAATTCTCTAAACACTGCCGATGATAGTATAATATCTTAAATTTGAAGATAAATGGAATAGAATAATTTATGATAAAGGTAGCAAAATGTTTTAACTTCCATACAAAATACTAAATCACTATAAGTGAACTTATTGTCAAAACGCAAACGATTCAAAAGATGTATCAGGCATACAGCCAATGTGTAACTTTTTTGGAAATTGTAACAGGGCGCCAAAAAATAAAGGAAGATTTTGAAAAGAATAATGCATTTTTAATACTTATTCTTTTTTCTAAATGTTCATGTGATTTGTCATTTACATCTACCCCTCAGTTATGCGTCAGGAACATTACCTTTGATATCACATCCTTTATTGTTGCAGAGATCTCCATGGCAACAAGAACTACAGGTAAAGTCGGTTCTGTAATTACTGCAATTCTTTTAAAAAAACGTATAAACATTTATTTGCTCAAAATTAAATTTCTTAACTTACATTTGTAGAGATTAGGTACAAAATCGGTGTGCTACAAAATTGATAATATATATAGTACATCGCCGGTTATGCATGTTGGAAAAAAGTATTATGTTCTTAACCGTACTTGTGCTGTTAGATTTTAAGTAAATATTTGATTACTTTCCACCAATTAAAGTTTACATTTATACATATTGCAGACATGTGACTATGGCAAAGCAAAACTAGTTTGTTTTTATCATATATTTTAATGTTGTTTTAAAACAATTCTTCACTTAAGTTTAAAAATATAGATAAATATAGAATTTAAATAAAATCGAACATTTGTATCCTTGCATCCAAGATTAAGTTTTCCTGCATTTAGCAAATCAGTTTCTATGGAGCAAACCTGAAATATATTTGATAAAATCATAGTTGATGATTAGATTATTATGATTAGATTAGCAATACTTTTTTATCTATCTACTGCTGACTTGAAGGAACTGACATTCCTTGCAATGAAACAAAGTATAGGTTTACCCCCAAACATTGAATTAGTGATAAAATCAATGGGGATGAATGCATTAAGGTCTATTAGTATGATAAGATTGCTGCCTATTGATTCAACCCCATCTAAGGCTAGCCTTGCATTGCAAGAAACTTTACATCATCCGGTTGCATGAAAAAAGTTAGGTTTCCCACAAACTATATGAAAGTGATAAAAATCAACAGAAGGGACCGATTGAACATTACATTGCAGTTTAGCGTCATACTAGATATAAGGATTGTTCCAATTCCGGATTAAAACCATACAAGGGAGTGTCCAAAATTTTTATTGAGCAAGAAACCATATTGTTAGTTTGGTCCAGGAAAATTCAAGGTTTATAAGGTTTTTAGTCCCATTAAATACAAGATTACTAGACAGATAGAGACGATGTAGACAAGTCACCTATATGTATTTGTGACTAAAGTTCTAAAATTTGTACATCTAATGTTGTTAACAGATGACAACGCGTGACTCCGCTTAAACAGGACGTAAAGAGGCGCATTACAGTTAATATGGCCAAAAATCTATGATTTCCACTACTTTAAAACTATGATCCGTTTAATTAAATAGTACAGGAAAGGTTATTTAGTAAGATTTCATTAGATGATAAGAAATCCAGATAAGAGCTAACACACCTGTTGTTTGTTACACTTGTCCACGGTAGAGCATGATGAAATGTCACTTACAGACTGACAGCTATAACACACCGGCCCTCTGTCACCTACGTTTGCATGTATACAAGAGTGTTGGAATATACGCACATATGCATAGAGTGAACACATATATACTGTAAAATTGTAATAGTCGTGCCAGCTCTCTGGGAGAGACAATCACATAATCAAGTTTCGCTTCAGTAACATTTCTTCTGATATCTTTGTTCTTATTTGTAACAGCATATGACACGAAATGTACAATAGCATTGATTGTTGTAAACTAAAGTTTCTAAAATACAGCACATTCAAATCAATTACAAATAGAGCATGTACATGATCATCACTATTTAGATATAGTTCATAGTGTCAACTCACCTGATATAGAGCATATAACATGTAGTGTTAACGTAATAAATAGCAAAATAAACATAGCGTACAATCTAATTATATTCATAATTATTCATCACAAAATTAGGTTATAAGGTTCTTATCATTGCCCCGCTAAATTCGTATAATGGACGTATCTTGCTTTCAAGTTCGACCTTCACATTCTTATATTTAGGTATTATATTTAGGTGTTTTAGTATCAAACCAATTAAATGAGCTGTCGCCCCGAATACAAGACTCAATAAATTATCGGCGCATGCCTCTTGCTCGTAAAATTAATGTATGTTAAGATTATCGGCGCATGCCACTATATATGTGATTACATTATCACCGCAGTCTCTTTGTGATAACATAGATTTACATTATCGGCGTATGCCTTTCTAATTGTATCATCTAGCATAGGTTGACATTATCGGCGCATGCGCACCTGATTGTTACATTTAATATATGCTTACATTGTCGGTGAATACCTACTGATTGTTTACATTATCGGTAGATTTACATTATCTGTGTGTACTTTCTTATATGATTATCATGATTACTATAACATACATCCAATACTGCCGTGTGTACTAATAAATGCACTACATAATTATATGATAAATGATATATGGAAAATTCAACAACAAAAGAATCATTCGTTATAAATCTTTAATTATTATCTTCATTAGCACTACCGACACTGATGATGTTGTAGTTCTATATAAAAATATTGGCATAATATGTCTACATTTACAAAAACATAAAACAAATCTTGCTAAAGCGAATATATCAAAACAATTCTATACTATAAAATAACACAGTGTATAATATACATGTATGACCATTGCATACCAGAACAAGGGTAAAAACTCTTAAATGTTTCATTACAACGAACAATTATAATGATACTTGATATAAGGACATCGGAGAGTTTCAGTATATCATTTTAAAGGTCTATTTTAAATTTGTCAAATTTGTATAATTCTTATACAATAATGGTTTGAAAGGAATGTTTGACATTGAAAAGGAATAAAGGAAAGAGGCTTGATGAGGTACTACAGTGACTTGATATGGATGCTTTGGACTTGAAAAATGAAAACAATGGTAGATTGAGTACAACAGTTATTTGATATAATTTGTTTAGACTAGCTTAATTGGTAAAACTGGGATTCAATAATGATTTATATTCGGTAAACGCATGGTGCAAACGCTGGTAGTTCAATGATACAGTTTATAAGGTGTGAAGTAATCTGGTTGTTTCAATTCATGATGTGCAAGTCGTGTAAATAATATGGAAGAATGGGGGGATGATTTGCTTAATTAAATGATAAACTGTACTTGTTAACTATATTGTATATCTATCAATGTCCGATGCAAAATAAGCATAATCTTCGCTTCAGTCAACCGTGAACTATTATGCTGTAAAATGATATGCATATAAAACAAAAATATTTTTATGATGAATACTATTTACATTTGAACAACACTCCCTTCAAAAAGTGTGAAATTATGATTTTCAAAACATATCAAACACTCACACACATGGATATGTAAAAAATACAACTTGATCATGACGATTTGCCTTTACATTTTGAACACAGTCCTTTGAAATATTTTCCAATACTGAACTGGAATGTAGGAAGGAATGGAATATATGCTGCCCATCTCTGGCGTTTTAGACACTTCATAATGAATGGTAGATCATAAGTGTTGTCCTCCTCGGAATCAGAACCAGTTGGTACATCTGCCGTGTATGTCTTACGCCATGATTTTATACCCCTTTCTTCATCAGAACCTTTCAATTATTATAAAAAATGTCTTGATATTATATGTGAACAGTTTATGTAAAAAAGTCAAGAAGCAGTGCAGTAATATTTGAATTTATTACTTTTAATTTGTTTGCAAAGAAGTTCTATAACTTTTCGATGATCAAATCAAAGACTAGAATATAGAAAACGTATTATAAGAAGTTTAAAAATAGATTCAGATTTAAATAAGCAGGTTAATAGACAAAAAAAAAACAATTCAATGCACTTAATACATGTATCAAATTCTTCTAAAAGAAGCTCTATTGAGGTAAAGAAGCCTTAAAATATAAAAATTGAAAATCTTACTTAGAGCAACTGGTGCACTTAAAACGGAAAAAAGGCAAAAAAATGAGCTGCGTCATGACAAAACTAACATAATGCGTATGCGACCAGCATGGATCCAGACCAGCCTGCGCATCCGCGCAGTCTGATCAGGATCCATGCTTTTCGCTTACAAACCCTATTACAAGTAGTGAAATTGATAGCGAACAGCATGAATCCTGATCAGACTTCGCGGATGTACAGGCTGGCCTGGATCCATGCTGGTCGCAAACCCATTATGTTGGTTTTGTCGTGACGCGGCTCAAATAATAATGAAATATACTCAGAAGTGAATTCAGAAGTGATATTTATAGCGATTCTATTATCATTTAAATTGTCATTTTTGGGTCATTTTGATCAATAAAAAAGGATAATTCTAGAAAAACAGAGTTAAGGAAAGATCTGAATTTTTGCAATTAATGATCCAGACCCTCATTAATTAATAAATTAAATGGACGACAAATCCCGAAAAATTAACAATTTCCAGTAACGTCATGTCAAAAACACACTTTCTTCTATTTTTTTCTTCTTCTTTTTGTGCTTTTAAGACAGTAAAAATCCACACAAACAAAAACACAACAACTTAATCAACAGTTACCATTGAACTTTCATACAGATATAGATACACTATATTTCATACCTGTAAACATTAATTCATCATACTTAAAATTTGTTGTTTTTAATGTTAATAAGGATCATTATCGCCTAGTTTTCTGTACTTTAACAGGAATGAATACAGAGAAAAACGTTATATAGGCAATATAGTCATTAAGTTTATTACCTGGAACTGTATTGTCTAATACACATCCTACAAAACCACCCACAAACATTGCAGTGCTCAATAAAACTGTTAAAACACGATCTATCTCGTCATTTCCTGAAATAAAAATCGAACGAAATATTCTCAAAACTTGCTTTTAAAAATGCTTAAAACTATGTGCATACAATAATCACCGGGTGTTTACTCTCAATGAAATTGTTTTAAAACATTCGATGACAATTGTATATCTTTTGTTTGTTGTTGTAATCGCTACCTTTAAAGGTTTATGTAGAATGATTAATAACGGAATTGCAGCTATACTATAGTGAAGGCAGTTCACCTCTGGTACCACTGTTATAATGCATTACAAACCATCATCCACTAGTAAGCTATTACACTAAAACAGAAGGTTTCTAAATCATAGTATAACTGCTTCCTCTGTAATTGTTTCTAATGAATAATTAGCGGTCAGCTTAGCGCAAAGGAAGTCTATTGTAATGTATCTTATAAAAGTAAACAAAACTATAAAACTAAGTCATGAAGTTTGGCACATTGCTTTGTTAACAAACCTTTCCAGGCAGCTTCCTTACTTCCGAGTCTCCTTGTATTAGTTAATCAAAGACGTAAAAATTGATTTATAGAAAAAGAAATACTTTCCAAGGATATCTGTTAGTAACTGTTTAGAGCCGGGTGTTGTCAAAAAAAAACAGTTATTTCCTCATTATGTATGTACATAACACAATGTCACTATAACAAAATTTACTTATCTTATTTTATCGTATCTTATCTTGAAGAAAGTTAGATGATACAGCACAGAATATCTTTCATGACAATAAGTATTGGAAGAATGTTTCGATAATGTAATTGAAGGGTTACCTGTTTTTATACAGCCTGGATTGGATATAATATATTTTGGAGCCATTAAGCCAATCAACAACGAGGATCCTATAATCACCAAATTTCGACTCGACTGTAATGATACAAACTGAAGATTCGACAGTCCTACAGCTGTGACCATTCCAAAACTGACGAGAACAATACCACCTAGTACAGGATCAGGTAGCATAGTCAACAAGGCGCCGAATTTTCCACATAGTCCACATATTAAAAATATCAACCCTGCAACCTGGAATGCTCTTCTACTTGCCACCTGTGTGTTTAACAATACACAATGAGCGAATGTAGTAATTACAAGGTCTTAAAGACTGTAATATCTGCATATCTAAGAAAGATCCAGGCAGAGAACGGCTATATGTACATCATAAGGCCGTGCTGATCATTTTACTCTTTCTGTTACAGTCATCTAAAGCTTTGGTATACGCCTTTGTGATTTATGAATAAAATCAGTAATGTATAAAAAAAACTCGAAAAGGGGAGATTGCTAACCCAAAGGCCACGTTCAAAATATCTCAGCTGTATGCATTTTTGTTCTGGATTTTTAAAGTTTTTCTTTTCCATTTATATGGTTACTAATGTCCAGCATATGCATATAACTCTTGATTTTTTTATCAAGTAAGCTAAAAGATTGGATATAAGCTTCAAGCTCAATCCATGTAATTATTGCTACACAACGCGGCCCCTGAATAAAATAATGCCTTACATACAGGGCCGGCCAAAAATAAATTTTGTTTTCCCTCCCGCATCTCTACCAAAACTTTTTTTGTCAAATATAATTATTCGTCCTTTTTGTAGTAGTAAAAAATGTAAACTGGGATTTATATAAAACAAAACTTAGAAACTTTGGTTAAAAACAGATGATAAAATAATGAAGATACATCGACATATCCCCTTTCATTGAATGCTATGTCATTTCAATAGATACATTATTCTTAAATAAAAATATTTTAAATACAAAGGAATATTAAACTCACAATGTTGCTACCTACCCATCCCAAACCGGCATAGGTACTGGGAGGGGAAATAAAGATATTTTAAGAATGACCCAAAGTTATTCAGCATCAAAATATGTTAATGTCAAATACTGACTACATGCAATATGATATTAAATTCTGTTATGCAATTAACGTCATCACACCGCTTAACAACATTACAATAATTACGAGGGTTGTCCGTAAAGTTTTGAGACTGCTTAACCCTTTATCTCATATATACGCGAAACAACGCACTTTCGACCCCCCCCCCCCTCTTTTAGGCCTCAAATAGTGAACAAAATGTCCTGTTTGGGCTCCAAACACATGTTTTCGTGATAAAAAAGGGATTGCCCCAATCAAAAAGGTACATCAGGGGGTTGCCAGAAGGGGGATGTGCCCCCTTCTCTTTCGGGGGTTTGAAGAGGGCGACAGCCCCCCTCATCGCCAAGAAAATTTTGGACATGTGATAGGCTAAAAATGGCCTCAGGTCAATCGTAAAGTAACATGTAACCCACGCTGAAAGGCCTTTTACTCTATCTCAATCAACTGAGAAGTTGCAACACTTCGAAATCAGTTTTATCAGTTTTGATGGGAAAAACAATGCAAAATAATGATTTTTGGCAATTTTGAGACGTCCACCCGTTGCCATGGTAACAGTAAATTAAAGATTGAGCAGAGCATGCTGTTACAGAGGCTATAGTCCAGTCAACATTTGTGCCAAGTTTCATCAGTACTGAAGTATTTTTCATAGTTTCATAGAAGTTTGAACTTGTAAACGGTGGCTTTTTAACGAAAACGGCCATTTTTCACAATATGCGCATGCGGTAAAGGGTTAATTAAAAAATAAAAATGCCACAAAACATCAATTTTTTACCAAAATTTTGTGAAAGGCCACGTGTTAACATGGAAAAACTAGATTGTGGGTAAATCCAAGGATTTTCATCATTTTTTATTAAATAAAAATATCGAACTGCTCACGGTATATATCTAAACATTTCTACCAACTTTACACATATTTAACAAAGACTACATGTATTTCTAAAAATTTTAAATATAAATACCGCAAAGTGACACATTCTATAAACATTTTTAAAAAGCGCATGTTACAGCCCTAAAACCAGTTTGACACTTACTTTCAAAACGTTTCTTTTCTTTTTTCTTTCTTTTTTTTTTCATTTTCATATGCACAATTATCTATTTCAGCAGATTTTTGTTTCCAATTTATTTCACTGTTCTCCTTTGGTAATCTTGCAATGACACGTTCATTTGCAATGGATAAGACTGCTGCTCCGCTTAAAATTGTTCACTTCTTCATGTCTATCTCTACTCTATAACGATCACTCACACAAAAGCCAGTGCCCTGGAACATATCGGTTTTGTTTTACCCCGTCTTATATAAGTATGTGTATCTGTAGGGATCATTCTGACTCGTACACAGTGTCTGCTTATTGTCCGACGTCAACTTTGGAGGTTGCTTTTTCCGACATCTTGTTAAAAGGAGTGTGTCTACTTCTATTTCATGTGACACACTTGTTCCCCGTTAGATGATGCCAAAATACACAGAAGAGAATGATACTTAATTGACGTTATTTCGTCTTTTATGTCAAACATTTCGACTGATTTACATTTATAGGTGTAATCGATAATAAATATACGACAGTGCGCCATGAACCGCTACACAAGTTGTCTTGACAACCATTTTCTTTTAAAGAATGCAATTTCCGGTTAGTTATTTTCATTAAGGTCTCTCCTTACAGCTCTTTTTCATTGATTTATTTTCAATACTTTTTGACAGTCTCAAAACTTTACCAACAACCCACGTATATACCTATAGCGCTATTTTGCCCATTTAAATAATTTCAATTTATAACAAGTGGAGCATAAACTGGACAGCATGACCTCTTTATGTGTAAACTTGATTGATATAAGAACATTGTCGTTTCGTTTACCATTTGTACGGTATGTGAATTACCCATAAACACAAACTTGACATTTGTCAGTGGATAACGCTATACATAAATGATTAACCTGGGTGGAAACTTTTGACATTCAAAAAAGAAGACATGACTGTCTTTTTCCCGCTTATCACATACAAAGGTGCTATAGTCGCATTGATTTTGACCTAAAGTGTGTTTAATATTGTTTTTATTAATGCAATATAATATCCATTTATTAAAAAAAAATAAAAGTAAAAAATAGGTTTTCGTTATACTGTTAGTCTAAACAATATTACAAAAAATCGGAGTGTTTTTAATATATGGACATTATATTTCATGAATAACAAAATTAAACATATTTTAGGTCAGTCAAATCAATGCGACTAGCACCTTTGATCACATGCAATAATTATTTTAAAAAAATTAGTAAAATGTTCCTTACCTTTGTAAATCCAATGGCGCCAACATTTTGGCTGTAAGAAGTTGTCGCCCCTCCTGATCCTACAATACCAGATAGTATGCTACCAAACCCTTCCATGGCGATGCCTCTATTAACTGCGTGCGCAGGCGGTGGTGAAACGCAAGATATTCTTGCGCATGCGTAGTAATCACCAACAGATTCTATTATGGATGTCATTGTTGCGGCAAGCATTGCCATGAAACTTGCAACACTAATTGTCGGAAGACCCCATTGACCTAAAACGGTTGAAAAATATTTTTTGTGCAGATCCATTCGAATTTTGTATAAAGTTTAACGCAGTATGAACAATTTTTAAGAAATAAGTACATATCTTTAGTTAAAAAAACTTAGAAAATGAAATCCGTATTTCAAATCTTTTACCTGGGTACGGAAAGTAGAACCATTTAGCAGCATGTAGAACATGTGTTCGTGAGTCTGTGCGGGTGAAATATTCCTGGCTTTTGGGATCTGATGATAATTTGTCGGTGACAGTTAAAATGGCACATACTCCCCAAGAAATGAGAACTGCTAATATCACCTGTTCAAAATCAAACAGAGGCAATTATTACAATATAAGTATTTCTATCCCTCAGACTTCTATACGCCTGAAATGCAAGATAATGTCTGTATTTCTTTAACCTAGCGGCACCTGGGGTAAATATTGGTAAATCAAGGTACATCTTACCCGAAAATAATAAATTGTACATGAAAAGTTACAGCATTTTTTTATTTTTTTTTTTTGCATTATTGAAATTTTAAAGTTTACTTTTAAATGAAGTATGTATGCATTATGCAGTCGTTTGTAACACGCTGAAAATCAGGAATATTTATCTTATCTTTCAGTAATTTATATAAGATAAACATATACATGTATAAAAACATATACTTTACCGGCAGTAGTTTGAATACTGGATACTTTATTATATGACATTTCTTTTGTCTGTTATATGCTGGAAACGGAATCTTGATTTCACTCATGTACAGCGCAAATAGGAAAACAAGACACACAGTTCTGAAAGTAAAATTTCTAAAAAGTGTTATCTTATTCATGTGATTACGATAATACAAAATTAGTCTATACAAACGGCATACATCAATATGAGCTAACCAGGACAAAGAAAATCGGAAAACTTCGTTTAAGCAGCAAGACTCCAGATTCATGAAATTTTCATGAAAATTTTGAAAATGTATTAAAGAGTAAAATATTGTGAATTACACACTGCAAACGACACTTTCAATACACATTAATTACCAAATAAGGGTCAAAATATTGAAAATTAGCCCTTACTGCGTTAAGGCCCTGTCACACTAGAATGCGCTTTCACTGCGTTTGCACGGCGTTGTTAAATTTAACAAAACGCCGCGAGATCGCAGTAAAAAATGTGATATTGTTGATGTCATGAAGACTTCACGGCGTCTTCACGGCGTCTTCACGGCGATCATGGCGATGCTACGGAGCTTCAACGGCGTTTTAGTTGGCGATTGTCTACGTTCGGACTGCGCTTCTACGACGTTCTTTGCGCTTTCACTGCGCATTAACGGCGCTCATACGACGCTCTCGCAGCGCTCACACTGCGTCGAAATAGTAAAGCTCCGTAAAAGCGCCGTGCACACGCAGTCTAAGCGCGGTAAAGACGTCGCACAATCTTGGTACAAGCGCCGTGGATAACCATCGAGTTGATTCGGCGTTCCTTTTGCGCTTTCGCGGCGCTCCTGTTGCGTTGTAGAAGATGCTACTGAGTTGCTACGGCGTCCTTACTGCGATGCTACTGCGCTCATTTTAGAACGCCGAGTGACGGCGTTTGTTTTGAGCGTGTTCAAAATGCGCGCCGTTGGTCGGCGTTCTATGCGATGCCACTACGATGCTACGGCGATGCTGTGGCGATGTTTGCGATCTTACTGCGCTCACCTTGGCGTTCTGAATTTTTTTAGGACGCCGTGAGAACGCCGTCCTAGTGTGACAGGGGTTTTAGTTATCCAGTAAAGATATGGTGATAAATACTGCAAAAACAGTCAATTATTTCATATAACATGTACATCATTCCTTGAATTCTGAATATTTTTTTTAAATCTTAGTACACATATATATTTTTTCTGAATGTTGATTGACTAAAACTTCTTCGCTCAACTGAAGGTATACAGCTTTAATAATTTGTGTATGGTGTGCTCATACCGCTTCCTGGCCGTGTAAATGTACTTCTACATATTATGTTCAAGTCATTAAGTAAAATTTCCGATATGCTAAAATGAAAAAGGCATTTTTATAATGTGACATCATTGTACACGTCATCAGAAACACCGTCATACATATTAGTGTTGATTGCCGAATAGTGATTCACAATCAGGAATATGCCTGTACAATTCTTTTTCTTAAAAATAGAATATGGATCCGATTTATGAAAAAGAAAAAAAGAACATTTCTTACAAACTTGTAATTCCCCAGTGAACCTGGCAGAAGCGGAGTGCTACGTCAATTAGAGATAGTCCAACCAAGGTTATAGTTGGTACAATGGTTATAGGTCCAATACAATGTAAAATCAAACCAAGAATACCTGTACATCCTATAAATACCTGTACAAGTGCTGACAGAATTATTCCCCCTTGAATCTGTGAAAACAATGATTCAAACTTTACCATGTTTTCTAGAAATAAACAATATACCTTCTTTAATAATATGTATGTTCAAATAAAACGGCTAACATATTTGCCCGCTTAGCTGAACAAGGGCATCATAAGATTTGTAACTGAGGGTGCGACAGGTTTTATCCTCGGACAAGGTGAAATTTCTCAGCGGCAGTTTATCTCGGACATTCTGTCTAATGGTCATTTGTCTCTCATCGGTGGTTCGGAAACCATGTTGGATCAGTAGTCGGTCACTTACAGATAAATTGGTATAGACTGGTCAGTTTAGTTTAGTTTAAACATATATATTTAAGCTTGATTGCTGAACAATACTGTTCTTGCAACTTATTCTAATCACTTGTAGCCCTCTTCCTGGCACCAACCAGCACCGGTGTCATATGAGGAAACATGGTCGTGACCCGAGTAGGGCTCAAACATGATCCCTGAGTTCAGAGGCAGACACATTAACCACTAGGCCACCACTCTCTTAGACTGGAAAGCCAGTTAGGCGGACTGAGCGCCAAGATGTGACCAAAACAGTATGTAAAAAACAAGATCAACAAACAAAAAACCTTGGAGTAAAAGTACACGTTCCTAGAAATGTATGCAAATAAGATCAATTAACATATTTTCCAACGACTTTTTAATTGTGCTGTAATTGTTTCCATCTGAAGGAATACACTACTTTAATTAAAATACAAATGAATGAGATTCCTTCATTTTCCCTACACGCACTACTTGATATTAAAGTGCATACGAAGATTCAGGGGAAATCAAAACTCAAACAAAACAATCCCAAGAGAAAAAACATCTATTGTTGTAAGTAAAATTGTATATTCGTGCAATGCAGACTGGGTGAGCCTATAACTAAAAGAAGACCATATTTTTTGTATTTTTATATCTCTCTAGTTCAATGTTCATGTATTAAATTTACGAGACTTCAAAATAATACTTATATATATGTGAGCACAATTTATACAGTAATAATACCACGATTGTATATTAGTTCTAATAAAATAAAATATTCAAGCCAAATGAGACTGAACTTCTTCTGAAAGTTACAAATTATTCACTTATGCAACATCTTTTTGACGTTCTAAATTTTGACACACAAAAGATACACTTTTTAATAGGAATAATTATCATATGATCATTTTGAAAACGAAATCATCGAAGTGTTTTATCCGAAATCATGCAAAATTGATTACATAAGCAGAAATAAGTTATACACAGAAATAATTTTGATCTCGCTTACAATTCAGATTAATTAATTTGAAACAAAGGGCCGGCCATTATTTGAACCAAAAAGATCAATAATCGAAATAAGATCTACATAAATACAACGTATTCTTCCACAAGTCATATGAATTTCATCGAGTATACTTTTTTTAGCGAAAGCATCCTCAAAGAATCTGTCAATTTAGCAAGTATTACATGTGTGCTTAGCAGAAATGTTGTTGGTTTATACTATACCTCCCTCATTCGTGTTTGCCACATGTCTGTCCGCTGATCATCGGTAAATCTCGGTACGAATGTTTCGTTTAATTCCGATCCGTTTCCATGGACAACCAGACTTGTAACTTGGCTTAGATCCGGACATTTCCAGATGGGTAAGGCCATAAGTGCGGCAACTGCAGGTATAAACTTGTGACATCCTCCTTGTATTATTGGCAGTCTTTACAAAAAAGATACATGATGTTAATAATAAAATGACATCATTAAGTCTCATTTGAAAGAAAATAAGAATAAAACATGAATGCTTAAATGACTTATAATACCAGTATCAGCCTGAGATTTGGGTACGTATTTCTGCTGAAATGTCCCCTTTCTTAACGAATTCGTATTTACAGTGTAATATCAATTCACAGTACAATATCAGTAATCATTCCCTTTAATTTTTGGCTTTATTTTAACAAATAATGCGCAAGGCACGAAAAAAATAAGTACAGAGTACTTATTCTGGTATGACTATATATACATTATAAAAGCATACCTCACGCCTATAGCCGTCTGCAATATGGTGCAAAGTCCGCACATAAATAAAAACGTCGACATGATCTCTGACTTCACAAGGTCAAGGTCACCAGCACAAATCTCATTGGCGACAATCAAAGGAATAGAAATGGTTGAACTTATACTTAGTAACACTTGCTGAAAAAGTAAGAAATAAAAATTAATCAATGTTACGTAACCGTCCACTTGGTGTCATTATCAAAACTTAAATTTGGGCTAAGTTTAGTCTTAATAGAACGTTGGATTTCTAACCATACTTTATCCCGTTTTGTCTAACTAATCGTTCTATTGTTACTTATTATTTTTTCCGTGACAGAGACGTTCAAATATGTCTCTGGGTTTGATAATTTTATGTATGGCACTCTTTCAAAAATCAGTGGTACAAAATACTATGAAGACATGGTATATTAGTATTAATTAGTAAATAGGTATGCTAGCTGTTTGAAATATAAAGAAATGCCACAGAAATTTTGATACAACGCCCTGGAAACAAATATTAATGCAATTATGTCTCATGTTGTATATATGTGTGTACTTTAAATTCCATCTGTACAAAATTAAAATTGATATCATTTTGTCGGTACTTCAACCCATGTGCAAAATTACTTGTCAGACACCTTTTCCGAACAAATAATGCGCCGTGATTCGTTCCCAGTTAGGCTTTATATAATACAAAACCAATCATGCCAGTCAGAAAAAATATTTACGGTAGATCCAAAAGATTCATATGTATGCTTGTTTTATACAGTTATATTAACATGAATTACTAGTATAACAGATTACTTTTGTCCTTTAAAGATACACATTATAGAGCTAGTCCGACTCCAACTAATAACAAGAAGTATCTTTAAAAAGATACTCGGCCGAAGTAAAATTGATTGATTTGCAAAATTATGCTATTTTTAAGTTTTCAGAACAAAAAAAAAGAAATTTTAGCAATGCTTGCATAACAATGACATAATAATTATTTCTTGTAGCTAAGAAAATACCCATTTTATAAACGTTGAAATTTATTTATAATATACTGATATTGATTGGTTTTCAAAGTAGGACAACTTTTATTTTAAGTGTCTCTACTTGTTTTATGTTTGAATTTATAAGACAAATTAACTTGTAAGTTAAAAAACTATTCTCATTCCTAAACATTTCATTTTAGAGCTATCCTTTACATTATACATTCTATTTTCTATAGTGGCAAAAACTATCCATTACATTTTATTTTAGCAATATCCTCAATACATTTTATTTTAGAATGGTTATAACATAAGATAAATTGACACTTATTTACACAAAGAACAGCAAAAGTAATAGCCATGCATGCACAGATAAAATTACCTGCAATCCAAATGCAAAACACAAGACGGCATTAGGTACATCAGATACTTTATAATGCATTCCATGTTCATCTTTATCTATTTCAAAGTTCACCTCTATTGTGTCACATTTAGAGTCATATCTAGAATTAACAACCTTATCGCCTATATGGTTATCAGATTCCATATTTGCATCAACAATATCGAACCCACAGTCTCCCTCGTGTACATCAAAGCTGTCTGGTAATAAAGATCCATTCTCTTCATGCAAACATCTGTCCTTATACAGATCCTTGGTTTCCATTTTAGTTTTTTTTTTAAATTTAAGTTGGTTTAAATACAGCTGCACACATATTTACTAAAACCAGTGAGTTTCATGAATTTCAAGAAAAAAAAGTCCACACACAAACTCTTTTGTATTCGGTAAAGGACATGTACCAATTTCTCAAACGAAATAATTGCGTCACGTGTTTCTGTCGTATTGAAATTAAATTACCTTACTTTATTACTTCAAACGTATGCATATCAATAAAGAATTTTATATCCTACACCATATTTTGTATCTATAAGCAAGAACAGCAGGTGAAACAGGTTCTTGTCTCATGCGATCATTTGTATGTGTAAATAGCTCCTTGTTTATAACGAATGTTGTATGGGATATCATTTATTATTGTGTGTATATATAAACTGTCAACATGTTAAAGCTAGGTTAACATAGTCCCATAATAATGCTTTTTTCGTTTAGGTAACACACAAAATATGAGGCACACACACAAAATTATGTTCATTAAGATTCGTGGATAACAAGGAATGATAATAATGCAAATTGTTCTGAACCTTTAAATATATACAAATGTAGCAATTTTAAAACTGCTTATCAACTTTATGCTACCGAAATATTCATGTATATTGAAAAGTAGCTTACCAGCATTATTGTGACATTAATGTGAAATAGTGAGTACAAATGCATTACCGATGCTTTGATGTAAAAGGTTTTTATTATAAAATGAACGAAATACTTGCATCATTAACCACATTACTTTCACTTATTTTACTAAAAAGGTGAGTTTTATTTCGTCAAAATATTCAGCGACCGTGTTGTAAATTAAAAATATCATCGTAGCTAGAATTATTTGTTGTGATTGTTAAAATATTTTGCAGTCTGCAATTAACAATTTTAATTTATAAACCCCACATATGCTAATTAATCAATTGACAAATGTCCTTTTCTTCTAGTTAATCACACCATACCACTTCTTTTTTAGTAAATAATCGACGACACATCAAAAACAGACGAAATATTAAGAACGAATAGTATTTCTGTCCATTGTTTTCTGTGATGAAATAATTTAGACGAAACGTAATTTTGTCGATTAAGATTTATAGACATCACAAAGCGGGCCGTGAATCAAAGTTATGCAAGTCTGTATTGTATCAGTTATAGTCCACAAATGAGTATGTCATAAGTTCGAATGTATACATTTTTGCAGCAAACATTGAACTTTTCACAGACCCTGATTTTAATATAAGAATCATACGTCTGAAATTCCTTTCTATGATCTTCTCTCAAAGAATATGTTATTTTTACACTCATAAGGTTACAACTCAGTCACTTTCACTCTCGTACTTCTCACATAATGTGTGACGCTTGTATTATTCACTGCCGCGTCTGGTAACGTTTAAATTCCGAGTGCATCTGTGTGTACTTTAAAAAAAACCAAATTGTTTATATCAAGTGTAACCAACACAAATGAGCACAATGATTGAGTTTAGTGTAAATTAATAGCGCAGATAAACAATATTGTCCCGTATATACTGCGTTTGCGCCGAACAATAACGTACTGTGAAATGTTTTAAGATGTCACATATCACACGTCAGCTCTGAGAGATTTCCACATTCTCGTGATTGTCAGTTACACTAATAAACAAAATAAGTTCCATCTTTTTAATATGATTATCTCCTCAAACAACCATTTTACGAAACATTTATTTGGATTGTTGTTGTTGTTTTGTTGTTGTTGTCGTCGTCGTCGATGCTTAGCACGCGACTAATGATATTTATCAAGTGTACTGTACTTAAAATTTATCTCAGTTTATTTCAAACTGATCATCATTTTTTATATACATTATAAACGTACATGTATATTTTTACGATAAAATGAAAGTAATAAATATCGTATATAATGAATCGCCGCGGTGCTAGCTATTTGAAATATGGTGAATGTAGTAATCCTTGATTATTAAGATGTAATTTTTAACGATATCAATATTGGACAGAAAAGTAAGCAAAATATGATTGTATGGTACCACATATAATTGGAATATTTTATTGATCGTATAACAGGTCATCACACTACATAACTGGGGTTTTCAAGTACATAAGTAATGACACATATTACATTATAAATAACAAATAGAACGTAATTTACCAGAATATAAGTATACAATTTATAAAATTAATTAACTATTTGAATGTTTATTTCTTTTATAAGAATAATCTTGCAATCAATTTATGCGAAATAATCTGTTTTGCAAAGAAACATGACCCGTAAAATCCTAGATTTTAGTGACTACGAAGATATTCTTTAAACTGCACGAATAGAAATTTAAATGATATAACTGTAGCCATAAATCCGCTTTAATGACACGTTTTATCATCGTCATGCAAAGTGCATATATATAATGATATCAACTCGTATATTATTAACTTCATGTGAACACAAATAACTAAACATTTTAATATATGATACTTACTTGAAGACCAAACAAGAATGTGAGATGAAAAGCGGGAACATCTCCAACTTTATAATGCATTCTGTAAGTTTCAGCTGTTTTCTGATTTTTAACCTCATTTTGGTCGTCTGTCTTTTCATCTATGGCAATGTTTTCTATGCCGAGAGCCTGTTTGTTGTTGCTCTTCTCGTCGTCGTTGTCTATGTCTATTTCCTTTTCATCTTTGATGTCAACAAAGGCAGCATTGTTAAATGATTTCTCGGGCGAATGGGATGAAAATGACGCTGCAGAATATGACGTACACGTAACTGAACACATCTTGACTGACAATCTTGTTTTTACCTATACTTATAATCGTCAATTAACACTACTAAATGGTTAATTTGTACAATTTATGTATCATGCTCTGCATCGTGCGCAATCTTTGTCTGTTAGATCTAGATCTACTTTAAAAATTAACGAAACATATTTTGTATTTTTACCTCCGTTTCTCTATATTCCTAAGCAAGATTTGAATGATTTTATTTGCTTTAACACTGTTTTGTCGGATTTTACATGCATGATAAACACTTTAATGTTCTCACGATCGACATACAAATATTTACATCGTTAGGATTGGAGGGTCGTTTCAATTTCTTTTATATTCCTTTTTCATTTTTTTTATTAATTTGAGAGCTTATTCAAAACAAGATGTAGACATTTAATCCTTAAGCTTGTGAGATTTAAATGAAATATAATCACTGATTGTGTGAATTTTATTACCAATTTGATGACTCTGGTGTTGTTGTTTTTTTTTTCTGTTTTTTTTCCTTTTTTTTTCATTTCAACATAGCGTGACTTGTTATTAAACAAGCTGGTTGAAGGTTTGTATATGGTTTACATATGCGTGAAAGATGAAAGAGGACCAGACAAAAGCCACTGAAGTTGTTCAAGATTTGAGATTGATAACATGGGTTATCTTGTTTTCCGTCGGGTCACTTCATACTTCATACTATTGAAATATTTTATTTGTTTGTTCACCGTCAGTTGTTGTTTACGACATCTATTTATTTATTCATTTTTCATTCATTCATTCTTTTTTTCATTTATTCTTCGTTCATTCATTTATTCATTCTTCTTGAATTCATTCTCCGTTCATTCATTCATTTATTCATTCATTCATTTATTCATTCATTATAGATTGATTCATTGATTTTATTTTATTTCTTGGGAATGGCCTCTCACCCTCTCATTTTAATGTAGGCATGCGTTTATTTATTTTAATTAAATTCAATCAATCCTATATAAGTTCCAAACTATTGCAGTTGGGTGGCACAATTCACCAGCATACAAAATCAACACAAGCGAGCAAATAATATGTGATGACACCGTTGAACTTCTTATATTAGAACAATTGAGCAGCGTCACGACAAAACCAATAAAGTGCGTTTGCGACCATCCGCGCAGTCTGATCAGGATCCATGCTGTTCGCTTACCAACTCCATTTCAAGTAGAGAAACTGGTAGCGCACAGTAGGGATCCTGATCAGACTGCGCGGACGCGCATGTTGGTCTAGATCCATGCTGGTCGCAAACGCAGTACATGTATGTTGGGTTTGTCGTGACGCGGCTCAATTAAATTTCTACTTTCATATATATTAAGCATGATATGTCGAAGGTGGCAGATCAGCTGAATTTAATATCCTCAAAATAGGTCACAAATTATCAAAATACAATGTCCTCTTTCATACAGCATTACGTTTGTATTATTTGTATGAAATTCATAAAACAATACAAAAATAGGGGAAATGCAGGAAAGGAGTTCAAAGGTTTATTTATAATGATTTTGTTTCTATAATAAATTATATCACTTTAAGTCCCAGGTAACTTGCAGTCAGCTGTTGGAAAGATAAACAAAATGAGGTTGTTCGTAAATATTTTAAATCGTTATTTATTCAATATATATTCTCTCCTGCTCCGATACAACTAGGTGACCATATGCTTGTTTGTTGAAAAACAATGTTGCAACAGATACATTATCATATGCTCCATTCCGAAAAGTGCGAGTTACTTCCCTTCATGATATGTACACCATTTGTACCTACAAAAAAACTAACACTATACTCAGTAAATCCAACAAAATACTTAAAATAAGTAACTCTTTGTGTATTATCAAGCGAAGCCACATCATGTAACGTGTGTAAGTAAGTTTTTCCATAGGTACTGTACAGAATCAACTGAAAACTAAAGGATTGAGAGGGGAAAGGGGTGCGGGATGGGGTGCGGGATGCATAGCAACAATGAAGTAATTTTTTAGTTGTCTGTCAGAGATGTGGATATGTGTCTGTGTCAGCGCAGTGTTATTGATTGATTGACTAGAATCTAATTCGGATTTAGTTTATACCGTAAGATTGATTTTGATTTTGTTGGGCGCTATCAGCATATTGAAGCACTGCTGGAACCATACTGTACAGTCCAACTAAATGTAATTACTAATTAGATTTGTCAAAGAGATACAGGTTTCATAGCAGTTTCCGTCCCCTAACAGTTTTCCGG